ATTATAGCACAGGTAAAGGAAAAATTGCGAAAAGCATAAATTTTTAGTTCCATCATATAATAAAAATATCTTTAATAATTTTAAACTTATATAGCTACGGATTTGTTCGGAACCCTCGGTGCGCGAGTCCGACTCGCACTTGGCCGTTTTTTTTCATTAGTGATGTTTTACATTTTATGTAACATAACTTATTTATGTAGTGGGTGCGTATTGGATTCTTTCTAATATTAAATATTTTTTGAAAAAGAAATGGATGCTTTTTTACAAAAAAATCTTTTTTGTTGTAGCACGAATGCGTCAGCTCGACCGGGTAAGGACCACGCTCTCACAGAATGCCAGCGTAAAATAGCAGCTTAATACTGCTGTGTTTCGTATAGTGAGTGCAGAGAACCAGAGATCTATTTTACTGGAAAAGAGGCATTCTATCTTAGTCCTCACGGCTGACAACGCATCTGCCTTTTAACTCGCAAACGAAGATAGATGTAGACGTCTATGGGCCACAGCAACCACTTACCATAAGGTGGACTGTGTGCTCGTTTGTGTCACCCTTATTCTATAAAAAAAATGGTGATGACACGCAGCCTCGTAGAACACTAGCATTAATAGGCTCGAGTCGGAGTAATCTCCGTCTACTACGACTTTGATGTTCCGATCTGCATAAAAATGATGATCCAATGGCACAATTTCTCGGGAAGCCTATAGGAAGGAAGCGTCTAAAGAAGCGCTTTGTGCCAAAGCCCATCGAAGAGCTTCACTATGTCCAAAGTAACGACCAAGGCCTCCCTCTTCGACTCTACTGCTTCCGCTCATCTATTAGTCAGGTAATTAGAAGATGAGAACTAAAACAACTGATTAGTGACCGCATTGGCGGTCACTAATCAGCTGGTGGTCCTCAAGGTACGGTTGAACTCAAGACAGTTTATAGTGGATTCCATTATTTTGGAGAACAAGGACGTGGCGATAAGCCTGTAATTAGACGGGTCTGAGCGGTCACCTTTTTTAGGGATCGGATGAACCAAAGCTGTCTTCCATGACTTCGAGAATACGCCTAGGGAGTACGAGTACCGGAAAAGACGCGTTAAAACCGGTGTCAACTTCGGAGCATAGGTCTTCAGCACAATACGAGGGACTCCATCAAGCCCGCTCTTGATGATGTCCAGGGAGAGGAGTGTCTTGCGCAACTAGCGTGCATGGAGCATTTGCGCCGTGGGATGGTCGGCAGTGTGTTCCCCCTGTCATCGAGAGTCGAGTTGAACGTAAAGAGAGAGCCTAGTAGATCGGCTTTCTCGTTTGCGACATGGGCCAATGAGCTGTCCTCCCTGTGCCGAGATGGAACAGATGGCTGAGAGAAATTCCCTTGGACATCCTTGGCAAAACTGTCGACGACCGAGTTTTCTTGATCAGCTCGATTCCCTCGAAGGGATGTTGCATCCCTTTACATTTTTTATCGCATCTACCACGGGGAGTGCTCTGAGGAATTGTTCGGATTAATTCTTAGCCAAATTTCACGAACGCACATCGGGTCAAAACCGACGATACCATCCACACCATCTGGATGCTTGGCAGACCACCACTGTGCGTTTTGCTAGGAGTTTTCTTCCTCGCATGACTTCTTTGTGGAATCGTTTAGACGTTTAGAAGGATCTTCAAGAAAAGAGCTTACTACTTACTAAAAAGCCAGCAACGCACCTGCAATGATCCCGGGGTTGCAGTTGTTCATGGGCGGCGGAAGTCACTTACCATCTGGTGAGCCGTATGCTCGTTTGCCCCTACAAAAAACATGTAAAACAAAAAAACATGTAAAGTGCGTCAAAAAACATGTAAAGTGCGTCAAAAAAACATGTAAAGTGCGTCAACACGCACTGCAGCAGTGCGACGGATCAATGTTCTACCTGATGGTAAGTGGATTATGTGGTCCATAGACATCTACATCTATCCTTGATTAAAGATGAATATGCAGATGCGTCGTTACACCCGAGGACTAAGGTGGAATGCCTCGTTTCCAGTAATAAGGGCCTGTGCGCAGCCGTGGAACGTATATAGACTATAAGTTTATTTTACTTTACCACCAAAGAAAGAACAATAAAAGAAACAGTTCTAGCACGTAGGTACACTATACACATAAAAACAAGGAAGTTGAAATAATACATAAAGTTTTTAAATAAAAAATACTTACAGGTCACAATTTTTAATTTACATTTACATTAGGTACTGACATATGTGTTGTGGCGCGCACACGGATTTCACTTAGCTTATATTATACTAGTGCCAAAACAACAGCGCTGGTTTTCATTTAGCCGTGCCTTCTGAAATTAACCTTCTGGATGCCTTATCGGGTCGTCATTAGTTAACTTATGGCTATCCCATTACCACTAGTTTATTGATCTCTAGGGCTATGTCATTTACTCTGGTACTACTGCACATATCCTTGTTTCATAATACTTCCGTCTAAAGTGACCCTTGGTGACTCTGTCACTCACTTCTGCAGCAAAAAGTTTTTATGTCCCCCTTGCCTCATTCATTCTTTCTACGTGTCCAAATTACTGATGCAGTTCTTTCTTAAGAATGGTCACCACATCTTCTTTTAAATCACACTTATCTCTTATCACATAATTTCTCGTTATCATATCACACAGAGTTACCCCTAGCATATTTTTTTTTCTTTTGCCAAACTTAACTTTCACTTCCATACATTAAAGTACAAACTAACACAGGATTGTGTGTACAAGACGTGCCTTTTTGACACATTTTGCCTTACCACAATAGAGTAAAGAGCCCGATTCACTTTGTCGTGCATTCACACCTCGTTGTATTATCCTGCCATGCTTACTATCTCTACTAAACAGACATCCTAAATACACAAATTCATCCATTTGCTCATCCAACTTCCCTCCTATTCTTATTTCACATATCATTTTACGTCTTTCTTTACTAAGTTTCTAACTTGGGTTCACTTTCATTCCTCTTTATTTTAATGATGCGATCATTAATTATTGCATGCATCATTGCCTCCCTTGATTGCCTCCGCATACGCGTCTCGTGGTAGCAAGGACAGCATATGTCGGACTCGCATGGACTAAAACTCCATGGTGTTTCACTTTTGCCGCACATTAACTGGACTACGGTAACACTTTTGCACTCATCCGCGACCCAACCAATGCCAGCTGCCTCATGGCGGTCCTTTCTCGGGAGAGAATTATTTCTAACCTTAGAGCCTAGAGCCTTGTGTTCTGGTGCGCCTTTACACAATAGCTTCTTACCAACAATTCCTTTACTAGTAAGACTCTGAAACGGATTATCAAATATTATACTTGCAGCCACGAGCCATATCGTGTACGGGAATCACTCAGATACTGATATTTTAGATATTTAGATCTATTACAATAGATGATGTAGCTACCGTAGTGCTAGCACTACGGTAGCTACATCATCTGCCTAGGCAGTGCCCCGGGGCCACCAAGCTTAAATGACCCTTCAGCCTCCATGAACGACGTTCGAAAAAGAATAGAATTATATAAAATCCTAGTTGAATAAAGAATTTTCGATTTTTAACTTTTTGGATGACCAACAAACCTCGAATGGCTTGGGCTGAAATCACATAAATTTCCCCCACGTCCAAAACATAAACATAATATTGTTAAAATAAAATTGTCTACTTCCGCTCACGAATTAGTTCGCCTGGTATGGACCAACATTAAAATGCTGATGATAAAGTAGTTTGGCACGTTTAAAGTATTTAGTTTAGTAAAAATAGAGCCCCAATTTCATTTTTGCCCTTTATCAATGTAACCAACATAGCTATGTCACTGATTACAACGGGTAACGTCTACTGCTTGAGAACTCAACACCATGAATTATTAACTACGCAATTACAACTTAATATTGTTAATATAGAAAGTCACATCAATTATTCACAAATGTAGTAAACACAAAAGACAAGAAGTAAAACACACGTACACGGCGAGCGATGGAGTGTCAGTTCAGTAGACCGTAATCAGAAGTAAAATTAGTAACTCTTATTTTTAGTTAGTTTACTAAAAAAAGGAAAACGCTTATTTATGCAATACATTATTACGTAGCATACATAAGAGGGTAAAGGAAATTACGACGAAAACAAACAATATTATATTCTACTAAAACCTAAAACTACTTCCGAATTCGCAAAGAGGTAGCGGTCTCCAAAGTTCCTTCCATAATAGAGGAGGCTAACATACTGCATTAAAATGTACGATGTAGTATGAGATGTGATTGTGCAAAATAGCTAAAACCATGGACGTAAGTTAAAATTAATTCAAAACACAACTAACATTATGTCACTAGTCACAGTACAAAGAATTTGAATTATTATTGATCTTTGTTCACCAAGGAAGTGAAAATGCATCGCTGAGCAGTAGAAAATACGATTGCATATGCATTTATTCTGCTGTTGTCTTTAATTTATAAAATGCGCAAATAAATACAATATATTCGCGGAATTCCATTACGTTATTTTAGACAGTAGCGAAATTCAACGCTTGTTGCTTTGCATGTTAAGTTGCTATTAATGTTAACATGATGTTAAAAATAGCAAAGGTGGTGTATAGATAACAGAGAAATTCTCAATTAGAAACGTAAGAACCATCTTAAAATCATTTCTAGAAATAAATCATAACGACCGAAGAACTTTCACAAACAAACGTCGATGTTTTAAAGATTTCTTTTCACGACAAAAGGTTCCTCGTTATGGGACTCATCCAACAAGGTGAATCGCTGGGGCGGGCGCGTATCTTCAACCTCCATTAGCATGCAAGTTGCGGTGCGAGACACCTACTTACCATGAGCAATGCGGAACGTACTCGGGGTCACTTGGAGAATTTAATTGTGTTCCATTATCATATTTAGGTTCTTTTACGGTAAGTCAAAAGTGAAAACTGAATGGGAGTCGACGTTGTTTGTCATTCGTCACTCGCGATCGATGGGGACAACTTCTTTCGGATAGCAGCTCGAGGATTAACAGCGAAATGGCGGTCGTTCGATTTAGTTTAACAATATTATGTATCTGCGCGTGTGCAACCGCAATCGTGGGGCCCGTCGCCAATGGAACCACGAGCAAATCTACAAAGACTGATACGTATTTAGATGCCTATTCAAAATCTCGTATTGAAGCTGAAAAGGCTAAACAAGGTGTAATAATAATAACGGCAAAGGACGGTGAAAAGAAGATTTCGAATCGCGACGACAGTTACCAATCTGTATACGACTATTCGCCACCTTATTCCAACAGTGATAGTAGCGATAGTTACAGTTCGTCCGGATCAAGCTATTCTGCGCCTTCAGCATCTAACAGCTACTTACCTCCCTCTAATTATGGACCACCCGTTAAATTCGAGTCAGATATCACGTATAACGCTCCTCCGAATACTTACGGACCGCCGTCATCAAGTTACGGACCGCCGTCATCAAGTTACGGACCACCGTCTTCAAGTTATGGCCCACCGGCTCATAGTTATGGTCCACCTTCGCAGACTTACGGGCCACCTTCCCATTCCTATGGACCTCCAGTTCACAAGCCTCCTCCACCAATATACGGCCCGCCTAGTAAACCATTTTACGGTATGCCTTACACTGCCCCTGGTCTCGGTTTTTTCGATAAACTATCGCTGAAGTTAGACATATTGACGATTGCTAAGCTGATGCTTAAATTCCTCATTTTCAAGAAGATCGTAACTATGATTGCAGTAGTGTGCATGTTACTTGTGATACCAAAAATAATTTCCTTTAAAAAAGATGACGGAGAAAATGGTAACACCAACGATGAAGACGACCGCCAGTTTGGACACAGTAATGGTATGTATTACTTTTAAGCCTTGACTAATTCAAAGCGTATGAAAATAGTATATTGAGATGTTATAACCATTTTTAAGTATACTTTGTTTAGTGTATATTTTTAATAATGTGTACGTAAGAACGACGTAAAAAAAACAGTATTTCGCTCTAATTTCTCTACTCACTTGCCTCGTTGTTGAAGGGCAAGTAATATTAAGCAAGTGAATTCCTTTTCTCATATCAGATCAGATTTTGTTGAATTTATTATTGCTATGGGTAGTGACAATGATTTATTTTGTAAGTTAGCAACTGCGTGGGTTCGTACCGATTACTACGTCACGTATCCTGGGTTCGAATTTAGATCTAATAGACTGGAATCGACTGGAGCCTATAATAGTGTGAAAACAAAAATTGTCAGTTTCATTAGAGTCTGATTTCATTCTCTTCTACCTTTATCCGAACTTAATTATCGAATAAGCTTCGAGTACGGATAGCTTAGAACCAGTGATAGCATACAAATTATGGCATTCATTCATGACATTACTTATAATAAAAATGCTAATATTTTTAGAATGTAAAGTGTCAAATCTGTTCACCTGATTATAAGTGGCTCCTGCAGCCCTGAGGACTTAGATGGAATGTCTTACAGCCTAAAATATGCACAAATGTGCACAAAGTTAAAATGTATATTACAGTTTTAATTGGCGAACTAATTATATACCTTAATTCGTAAATTAAAATCAACTCATTATCATATGCCTGTCTTTATTAGATGTACTGACATAAAATTCTTGTTTATGTAATAGTTATAGAGTTAACATCGGCGCACCAGTTATTAGAACGCGCGATCGCTGTGTACGGCCGCCAGCAGCCCGGCTGTGGCATCACGTGTCGAGTACGCAGAGTAATCGACGATCTCTATGAATTCCAACCTTACTTCAGGTACGTTTTACGATCCATATCAAGTGCACATATTCTAACATGTGTGCGATTGTTATAAAAGCTGTAATTTAAACATCATTAACTGAGTTTACTAATAACTTTATGAGCGTCACGTTGTCATGAAATAACTATAAAGTCTGATGAAATTCACTTATATTTGTTTGTAAGGCCGAACATGAAAACCAAACAGTTTTTATAACGAATAATTTTATATCGCTTTCAGAATACTTTAAAAGTAAAAGTCGAAAGGGAAACAAAGAAAAACATCCTTTTATATATGATTACGATGTTATCGGTGTAACTTTTTTTTTTCATATATAAAGGGCTTTGTCACTGATGCGATTATGCCACCCTGGTAGTTACAAAAAATCTTAAATATAATTACTAACAAATAAACTTATTATGTCTAGTTACTTAATCTCTTGTTAACTAACAAATACAGTTTTTTGGCATCATCTGATAACGGGTCGGATAAAATACTATTACTACTACCAATTAAGGACAAATGTAAATTACAATTTGCTCTTTCTCTTGAGTTCTGGGCACATTCTACGGTGTAACTTTAGACGTGTTAATGTTGTTCGTGATTTAAATGTGGTGTTTGATAGTATAATAATGTTTCAATTCATATAAACAGTACATTTGAACTACCTCATAAGCTGCAAATAAAATACAATACTATCTAATAAGAAATATCTTGGAGTTATTGTTTATCTGTTTGGTTGCCGCTATACCGCGTTTACAAAGATGCCATAGAATTACTGCAACATAGATTTATGAGAACTTTGTATGCCGGACTTGGATCGAAACGATCCTACGTTTGAATTCAAGTCTGCCTGCAAACTAACATTTAATATGGTGACTCGAAAAACGTAGGTGGTTGTCTGATTTTTGATAGCATAATATGTTCTCAACAAGACTTATTATGATTACTTGGTATTTTAAATGTCACTGAGATCTCGATGAAGCAGTGTTTTCTTCTTTTTATTTGTAATATAGTCTCAAATAGCCTATAATAGTCCACAGCTGAACATAGACCTCCCCCATGGATTGTCTCTTAAGGGAGGATTTTGCCATAGTTACCACGCTTGGCAGGTGAGTTGGTAACCGCAGATTTGTTTACTACTTTGAGTTGGTATCGGGAAGATGCTGTTGCACATCTCCTGTTTCAGTTTCCCTCTGTCCGCTCTTACGACACACAAGGGACGATAGGGAAAACTGGATATTCTTACACCGCCATTACACGGCTTAATTTACCAAGTAACCTTCTAATATGTCTATGCTATTATGTTGTATTTTTATTGTTGCATAATATAATAAAAAATTAAAAAAAAACTTACGGTTTTTGATCAATTGTGAAATTATAACTTGGTAGAGGCTTCTCTATCTTATAGGCTAGCGTAAATGAATAATGTTTGCTTCCATTTATTTTAAGTTAAACATAAAATTAAGTAAAGACACTAATTTTTAATTTATTATTACAGAATGAATTCTTCTGAAGATTAGGACGGCCACGTCGATGCATTTAGTGCCATTTACAATAGTGTACAGAACGTTATTACTTATTAAATTATTTAATGTATTTATTGAATTATAAGGTATTTAGATAAGTTTGTTAAATAAATTATTTGAACCAGTCGAAGTCATTTTGATTTCAGTTTTTTTTGGATTAAATGGAATTACGTCTAAAATTAATGTGAACTATGAAGAAATAAAAAATAGGTGATGATATTAGTAATTTGCAGCTTATCTGCGTCTAATTCGCAGCTTTGTTATATGTCGTAATCGTTATGATCCTTCTAATATTGTTGTAAATATCTGTCCAATTTTTGGGTAATTACAGAATTGGAACGTTAAAATTCTGAACATAACGTCAACTGCGTATTGAATTATAATTTATACCTTTTGGTAGTTACAAAGGCATTAAACATGCATGCATACGTAAAATTAAGCAGTTTCACTCTTACAGTGAAATTCAACTTTCCCTCTATCACTTTTGGGATCAAAGACCGAGGCCTCAAAGACTAACAATGCTACACACGGTACCGTACGTAAACAGTCTCTGAATACTAATCGCTCACTCTGATACTAATGATGACAAACCTTTGACGTTCAAACTGATGACTTCTAAATATACGGTAATGGTATCTACCTTATTTATAATTCAATCTACATTATTCATAGATTTAAGTATTTTACAATTTTTGCAAGAGATATATACGTGGTAGAGCCACGCTGCAGCTATATTAGTCATAGCACGAATGGGTCGGCTCGACCGAGGAACGGCCATGCTCTCATCACTCATCACTCGCAGAACCGGACACCCCTTATGAATTATAATTATTTCTGTAAAATATAGTATAATTATTATTGTAATGTTTTCTGCCGACGTCCAAAAAGGAGACGGTACTCAATTCGATTCTATGTTTTTTTTATGTGTGTTACCTCATAACTTTTTACTGGGTGAACCGATTTGGATGACTCTTTTTTTATTTGAAAGTTGGTACTTCTCGTGTGGTCCCATATGAATTTGATCAAGGTCAGACTTATAGTTTTTGAGTTATCCTTAATAAATTATATTGAAGTCGGTTGTACAAAATTTTAAATTTTAAATTATGTTACTGATATGTTTTACTTTTTTTCCATTCATCACTGTATTTTAAAAGTCCACACCTGTACATTGGCTTTACACAATGATTGCTTCACATGGCGGATTTGCCATAATTGCGACGTTTGGCAGCCGGGTTGGCAACCACAATTTTATATTATTCTGTTTTTTTTATTAGGAAAATGTTGTTGCACATTTCCTATTTCCTTACGTTATAACTACATAGCTGAAATGTTTGGTACTGTTTATTGACCTTCTTTAGATTTTGACCATGGAAAAAAAGGGGAGATATCCTGCCGGGCAAGATGTTCAGCCTGGGGAGCGCCCAACGTTCCGTGTGGTAGTTCCAAGCTATTCGAAGTATATATATATATACTTCGGAATTTTGATAGAGTGATTTAGGCTTCGATGCGTTTCGTTTGTGGCGCGATGAAAGCATCTCCACAGGATTATTTAGCATAAGAAATAATTTTTTTTAAATAAGGTTGTTTATATAAAAAATTATTTCTTATGTAATTAATATTTCCAGTTTAAATAAAAAAACCTGTAAAATTACCGCAATTTAACATCATCAAGTATCGTCTCTTCGAAACTGTAAACAGTGAAGTAAAGTGAGTGACGTAAGTTTACTTCAACTACAAAATTAAAATTAAAATTGTATATATTATTACATTTCAAAACTTGTTGTTGTAAAATATAGTTTGACAAATATTGAAAGCACTTAATGTTTTTATTGTTTGTATATTGTCTTTATTCTTGTCTAAGCATTCAATTAAACCACTTCTTACTACCAATTTGATCAGGTTATGAGTACAAAGAGTTAGTAAGAGTTAATGTAAGATTTTTTGTATTCAATTTACACCAATACCTAATCTTACCAAATTTTGTTGGAAATTCTTTCTTATCAGCTTCTTTTATGCGTCTTACAGCACAAACGTTATCATTTCCTACATCGTACACGCAGAATCATTCAGATCGACGACCACAGTTATACTTATTAAACCAGTTTTAAACAGTGGCATGGTTTGAGTCTCTACAAAAGATTTTATTGTTGACCAAGACCACAAAGTCTTGATGTGCTACACATACTAATCATACCGCCAAATTCACATATCCACTACCACACATTATCATGTGGGTGTCGTAAGTGTCGACAGAGGGAAACTGATACAGGAGAAGAGCGGTAGCACTTTCCTAAATACAACTCAAAATAATAAAAAAACTGCAGTTGCTAAGAACGGCAATATAAAGCAATCTATGGCGGAGGCCTATGCTTTACAGTGGACTGTGCTCGTCTGTATTGATAGTGATCGTGGTGATGATTATAATGAAATGTATTTAATAGGTAGTCGCCGTTAGGTCCCATTTTCAGCTCCATATTCCACATTTTAATTTATTTGTTCATTGACTGTATAACTGGCCAGTTCTACAAAGTTTTATTGTACCCTAGTAACAATTAAAAAGTTTCTTGTACAATAAAAATATGAGTTTAGGTATAAGTTAGGGTTGTAAACTATTGTTAGGAAAATATAGTAAACATATAAAAATATACGAATGTAAAAATATATGAAACATTACATTATTCTACGAAAGTAATAAAAAGACATTTTAAAGTATTTGAGTCCTTTAACTATTAGCGTTAAAACCTTAGATACACTACCAGACAAATTTGAATTGAATTTAAAAATTTATTTTAGGCTATGTCAATAAAGAATATAAAAAAAGTTTATATTGGGTTTAACCAAATCTATTAAAAATACGGTATCTAGTCGCATAAGTAAAGAAATATCTCCAGAGATACTGCTATTTAACTGCGACATCTGCGATAGTCCAGCAGTGATCATGCAGAATAATTAGGATTTAATTTTCTCTGGTATCATTTTCCCATACCGGAAATATCTTAATGAAAGCATTTCTCATGTTCATCGCTTACATTAATTACCACGGTTATCGGAGAAAATATCTTAATGTGATTGGACATATTTTTAATAATTCAGTATGAATGCAGCTTGTTTGAAGCCCACATTTATTTGCAACTAAGCGAATAGGTATGTATACAAGTACCTACACGTAGTAACATTTTTTGATTAAAATTTTCGATGTAAATATCATGATCATTCCTGGACACATTTGATTTAGAATCAGTGAGCTCCTAGATAATACAACATAGTGATACGTCGAATCAGTGTACATAGCATCACTCTTTACTGTATTTTTAATGTCAGATAAATAAAATTATAATTTCCTTATTAGTGATCGAAGGATAATTGTAATATTGGAATTGTATATTTATTTACCGGGAATTGGATGGTATCTATGTTCAAAACAGAAAATGTATATTTTAATATGGAATTGGATGGTACCTATGTTCAAAACAGAAAATGTATATTTAAATATCTAACAAAATTAGGCCTTTTATGCTATATGTGAAATATCCATACCAGTGAGAAGCGCCAGAGGCGCAAGCTGATATTATTATCGCAAATGTTATGAATACGGTCAATCCTCTCAGTAGAAGACGCCCATGTCCAGCGGGATTGTGATGATGCTGGCTTCCAAATATAATTCTTAGCGATAACTTTTTTTGATAATTAAATACATATTTTTTGCCTTTTAAGAAAATATTTCATCGTATAGTGGCGGTGCAAGAATATCCACTACCCCGTATTGTCTCTCGTGAGTATCGTAAGAGGTGTCAGAAGTAAACAAACCAGGAGATGGGCATCAGCGTATACTACTAACAATTTTAAAAAAAACTGCGGTTGCCATCTCGCATGCCAAGTGCGGCAATTATAGTAAATATCCCTGTGAGGCAATATATGAAGCAGTGTTCAATAGTGGACTTTTGATAGGCTGTAAAGATAAGAAATTAAGGAGCCTTTTTTTTAGCAGACTAAAAGGCGGTTGTTCTCAATTCGAGTTCGACTACGCGTACATGTTACGCGAAATCTTCGTCAACCGTGAATTTCGTCAATTGTGATTTTGATGGTTCTTTTTAGGGTTCCGTACCTCAAAAGGAAAAAAACGGAACCCTCATAGGATCACTTTGTTGTCCGTCTGTCTGTCTGTCTGTCTGTCAAGACCCTTTTTCGAGGTATCAAGCTGAAATTCATATCAAATACTCAAGTCTATTGTCCCTTGGAGCTGTGAAAAAATCAAACTTCTAAGCCAACGCAATCAAAAGATACAGCTATTTATGCCGCAAATTTTCGACATTCGCAAGGGAATCAAAACCTACAGGGTACTTCCCATGAACTCAGTATCTTGATATCTGGTACGAAGCAACGTTTTATAGCACAGATAAAGGAAAAATTGCAAAAAGCATAAATTTTTAGTTACATCATATAATAAAAATATTTTTAATAATTTTAAACTTATATACCTACGCATTTGTTCGGAACCCTCGGTGCGCGAGTCCGACTCGCACTTGGCCGGTTTTTTAATAAATAGGTTTTACTTCAGGGGTGTTCCTGTATGTATTTCGTGAAAAAATTCTACACTATATATTATCATCGACTTAGCTTAAATTATAGAAGATTGTGAAAACGATTTTATTCTGTTTAGTCATTTCAAGTCTGCTTTTACTATTTATTAAACTTTTTAATTTTAATGTTTGTAATATATTTTTATTGAATTTTCTTATAAGCACTCTTTAAAAGTTTATCATCGATGTTATAAGACTGAATTGTTTTCATTACTCAGATCTTTAAGTACTTCACTTAATATCTGGGGTATGCGACCGACTCTACCTGACTGCGAATGGCCCGTGGCTTCTTAAAAAATTTTATTTACTATATTGGACATAAAACCCATACAATAAGCAAGTCGAATTCGGTTTTTGGTGACCCGAATTTGGTTAAAACCAATCTTACCAGCCTCGAACACAGGCGCAAAGTAG